AAGAAGAAGAAGAAGAAGAAGAAGAAGAAGAAGAAGAAGAAGAAGAAGAAGAAAAGAGACAATGACTAGGCCAGGGCAAGATCGACGGCAAAAAGACTCGAGGCCTCGATCCCAAAACTGAAAAAGAGTCCGATTTTCGAGTTTGGAAGCTGCTTCAAGTGGGTCTGGCTGTTTGGGGGCCAAGACGTGAAGCCTGCTAAATATAGCTTTTAGAATCGAGGCCTCGAGTCTCGAGTTTGACAGGCGGTGGCTGGTTAAGCCTGTGCGCACTAGTGCGCGTGTCAAGACAAGCTGACTTTCACGCACTCGTGTGTTTGTGTGCGTGTGTGTGTGTGTGTGTGTGTGTGTGTGTGTGTGTGTGTGTGTGTGTGTTATAGGTAGGCTTGTAGGGTTGCCTCCCTTCTATCGCTCTTGCCAATGTGTGGGGCACAGCCTCATCGCTAATTCAAACCTGTCTTCTTCTAGATTTCATTGTTTTTTGCTTTTTGTTTTGTGGAGGTGTTCTCTTTTCTCTCTCTCTCTCCCTCTCTCTTCGTTCTCCTTCTTTATTTTATTTTGATTGGAATTGATACATTAAAATGAGACACTTTGGCTCTGACCTTTTCTCTGGCACTTGACAATGTCCTTAGATTTTTCAGTGAGTCTTGGACAACAATATTCAAAGTATGTGCAAAGCAGGGAACATGGTAGACTGGTAATTTTTTTATGGCTGCAATCATGTTTGCTGCGTTATCCGTCACGATGGCAAACACCTTGGTTGTAATGTCCCATGCAGACATTATGCCCCGGAGCTCTTCTGCAATTCGGTCTGCAGTCTGCGATGAGGTGATGCGACGAATCTCAATGATTTTGGATTTCAACTGCATCTGACTGTCGACAAAATGTGCTGTCACAGCCATGTATCCTTTTGTGCTCCAAGAGGTCCAATCATCAGTTGTTAAGGTGATGAATTCAGCATCGTTCAATTCTTTTTGGAGATTTGCATACTCCTCTCTGTACAAGTTAGGTATAAGGGTTCGAGTGAGCTCTCTTCTGCTGGGTAGAGAGTACCTCGGATCCATGGCATTCATCAAAGTGTGGAATCCTCTGTCTTCAACTACGGTGAAAGGCTGCATGTCAAGGACGACGAATTGGGCGACCAGATTATCCAGTGCATGCTTCCGAGGAGAATCAACAGCGTAAGCCATCTTTTTCTGGATGCAAGTCTTAAAAGACTGTTGCACAAGAGTCTTGGGTCTTTCTGCTTGAGACGCCTGAGCCAGAGTAGCTAAGTTCGAGTCCAAGGCTGAAGGCTGAAAATGCTGTTGTGCCATATTTGGTCTTGTGGTCTCCTTCTCTCTTGCATCCTTTGCTTCCTGATATGTCAAAGCATGCTTGCATGACAAATGTTTTGTCATTGTCGACGTTGAATTATTGTAAGCCAAAACATTTTTACAAATCATACAAACAACTTTGTTTTCCTGTTTATAAAAAAAGTCCCAAGCTAAAGATCGACGTCCAGACATGATGACTGATTGATATCAAATCAAAAAAACAATATATGATTTACAAAAGAATGCAAAGAAATGAAGCTCAAAGTACAACAGCAGTGAAAATGAAAGTGCAGTGAAATTCAAAAGCAAGCGTTCAAATCAAGACAAAAGAAAGGAAAAGAAAGTGAATGATTTCATTTGGGATGGGCGGGCGTGGGGCGGG